AGCTCCTCGCTCATGCATGCCTAAAGTTACGCGCACGTTTTTTGCAATTGAGGGTCAAAGGTGCTGTGATGAAGTATCACACTCAAGATGAAAGATGCATTCTGCATTCAACTCCCAATGTTGTCCTCATTGACTCTTTCCACCTGGCTGATCGGTTCTTCGAATAGCGCCCCACAAAAAAGTACTAACCATGGCAGCAGCAGGGTTTGATTGATGCAGGGTTGCGAGTCAACGTTGGTATTTCATCTTCGTTCCCTGAAAACACCTGTTACTTGGCAATTCCACTGTGCGTGAGGCTCCTTAACAGCCAAGGCCGTCGCCGGAGGCGATGATGAGGGCGCTGGAGATGCCGGGGTCCTCGAGCTTTGGGCGTGCAGGGAGGGAAGATGCGCTCAGTGAGGGTGCTGGTGTAGAGTTAACCGGTTTGCCTGGGGGGACGGACCCACCCACTAAAAGTGTACTTGACTAGGAAGCCCGTATTCTTTGCAGATTTCATGATGAAATGTTATGCCGCCAGTGCCAGCGCATCCAAGGTCAAGGTCCATTCATTTTGGAGACTTGCGGAGGATTCGTGACAAATTCTGGCAAGTACCCCTCAACCTCGGTTGTCTGAGGCTGTCCCTTCGCACAATCGCCGGGTTTTGTGAGTTTCGCCGTCCTTCGACCGCGTTGCTCGACATTGGCCTGAACTTCTTTGTCTGTGTCTCTGATTGCGTTGCTCAATTCCAGCGCAGCGCGTGTCAAGAAACAAGTCAAATCAGCGTGCTGTTTCGTACGTTTAACGCCGGCAAATCTTGACAATCTGGCCTATGCAGTGGCAACCGCCGCTTCTTGGGCTTTTGACAAGGAACAAACTGAAGCAGAAACGCATGTTCTAGATGCACCCTGCTGGGTTTTTCTCTTGAGAAAGCGCGGTCAAAACTACTGGAAAACGGTTGAAGGGACCTCTACAAAGAAAGATAGACTAAAAGAGAACGGGGCTTCTTTGAATTTTGCCTGTTTATTTTGTGCACGATAGGTAATACAATGCTGTGTGTGAAAATTTGGAACCCTTTTTGGGGCAGCTGGCAAGGGTCCAAGAAAGACGGTTTGCTAAATGATCCAAGTTTCCGCACACAGCAACATGGATTTTTTGCGATCCCTTGTGAAGGCAACACGAGCAACGAAGCCCCCAAAGTGTCCCTTTGCTTGACAAACTCGTGCACATTAAAGGAAAGCATTAAGGTTGCAAAGTAGTCATAGAGATGGATTAATGACTGTGATGTCATGGTCAATAAAGTAGTGAGGGTCATCATACAACCACTAGGAGGAATCCTATTCTCATCACAACCTGCCTCGCATTTGGTGTAGTTACGACTCAAGTTTGGCCATGGCATGTGGGCTGTCTTACAACGATGGACTTCTCTGAGGATGGCCTTCGAAGACACACATTAAGCAACAGTGAAATAGCCAGCTTTGACCAGCGCCATGTACTTCCAGGCTACACTTCCTCGGTGCCATTGACGACGAGGGTGACCTCACCGATGTAGGAGCGCCTTTGGACCGGGTTTTGTGCTTCTCCGATTTCAGAGCACCTGTCTTATGTCCGTCTTTGCGTTTGTTTTGAGGGAAGGGCCCCATTTTGTGGGTTCATATATTTTAGACGAATGCGCTTAGGCAGGTATCAAACGCACGCCACACGGCCTTCTTTTGACAAGCTCGCTTCTTATGCGTCAAAAGCAGGAGTTGAACCCTGCAAGTGGTTGGTGTCAGACTGGTTCCTGTTTGGAAATGGACGTCACCAAACGTTTTGACCTGGAAGAGTCCTCTTCTACAGGATGCCCCTTCAGGATGCCCCTTTCACAGCTCCCATGTCAGCCAAGGCTGCCCAATCAGACCCCTTTCACGAGATGACTTTTGCTTTCGGAAGGGCTTCGATTGTGCACCAAACCATGTATGCTTGAGGGTACCAGCCCTGCCAACATGTCCGGCTTGCCCTCGTCAGCTAGCAACTATTGGTCCGCCCGGGCAGCTGTTACTCCAAGCAGGAAGCCGGACTTTGTAGTTTCGATTCGCAGCAGTTGCATTCGTGACATGTTCACCGGACTTATCTACATGCATACGTGAACGGGGACATAAATATGTGCATAAGCAATGAAGTAAGCTCAGCAGTCAATCATAAACAACTGTGCCTACACAGGCATGCGCACACGGCAAGTCATGCTTGCTTGTTTGCTTGTGCGATATACTGGTGATTTACCTCCCGCCATTGCAGTTTAGCAGAAGGAACTTAGAATGTTATGCTTGGGTCTTCCCTGGGCGCTTGTTTCGGTATTTTTCCGTTTCGAGCAAAACAAACGCTCATTTCACACAAAAACACCCAATTTGAAAAAAGCAATCGCTCAATTGGACAATTGTTCTGGTTTGTGTACGCAAATGTCAGCTCCTTTCCCGCCGATTCCCGCTCATGTCGCGCCGATGTCCGCTCATTTTCACGGGAGCAAGCTAGCCAAGTCATGCCAAGTCAAGGTTTCCGCTCATTTCATGTTTGTCCGCGCAGAATCTGAAACGAGCAACAAAGTGCCCAGAGGCCTAAGAAGTGATCAAACGGAAGACCTAGGTATGTTAGTTATCAGTTTTGGAGAGGTCCACGATGGCAAATCCAGCACGCTTTGCGACAAAAGAAACTGTGTGGATTTCGAAGTGGGACCGTGTCTGGTCCGGCAGAGGCAACCAAGGCGGAACAACCATAGATGCATTGGCAGTGTGCAGCCCTGGGCAAGCAGCAGATGTGTTGACGGTCAGCGTGGCACATCACGGATCGTAGTTGGCTGGTTACTGTCATTGATGAATGCCAAGCACTTGACACCAGCTCAGCCTTCCATGCCTCAATGGAGTCAGCCTGATGTTGCCGCGTACAGCTTTGAGTTTCAGTTTCCCATGATTTGGGTGAAGTAACCCTCTGAAAACTACCCGTGTCAATGTGCTTGCCTTGCCGCACATTGCATTCAGCACCGAGATCTCACAAGCTGTTTGAATAACATGCTCCATGATTCATGCGGTCAGCTCGGTGTTGTGCAGCAACCTTTGTGGTTAGGCACAGATTGGAGCTCTACTTGTACCGCTCGCATGCAAGCTTTTTTTGGGGGGAACTGGGAGAAAGAACTGCTCCTTTTCGAAGGCGGTTCCGAAGGCGGTTCCGAAAGCATGGCTGATTATTGCGCCTTCAATCTGTTCGAAACTATCGAATTTCCATTGACCCTGCCAAAGGTTGCGTATCATTTGTTTTTTTTAAGTTTGCTTTGTGGAGGCATCAAAAGGGATCGCTCCTCCGAAGTGCAACCCTCCGGACAGGCTCCCGCATGGCCGACTTTCCAGTGGACCCGCACCTGAGCGCGGGGACTTGTGCATTAGCGTCCGGGTGGGGCCCTGGTTCGAATGGTTGGCTTGCCGTGGTTCTCTTCTTCCGCAACCAGTTCAACTAAGATACAGGTGAGGCCCACAGATCCGTGCCATGTTTTTTTTCTTCTCCGAATGTCAACTTGATACAACACTGATAAATGAACTACGTCACTCTAAGTCCATGGCTCAGTGTCCGGGAAGGACGCCAGGAGACTGCGCAGTGCGTGGACTCTGTTCAGAGATGTTGCTTTAACCAGTCCACGGGGCGGCGGCGGTACGTGAGAACACCTATAAGAGAGGAAATAGAGACCACAGTGAGCGCGGGCTCCGCATGAGCTCTTCATGAATGTTGCCACTAAGAAGGGGCCGCTCGTGGAAGATGTGTTTGCATCGGCATCGGATTGTTTGTTTCCGCTTCGAGCTCTTTGCGAGGAAACTCATGACCCTCCTTGACCCCCCCATCCGCGCATAAAGGCTGCAGTTTTGGCGCGCTCACCTCACGGTAAAGATCCTTTTCTCAGGCAGCTGAGACCTTTGCAGTGATTAAGGTCAAGAATGTAGTGAGCTCTTGCCGTGATTTCGGTGCACCTTCAGATCCCGCTGGCCGTTGCTGGGCTTTTCGACAGGACGTGACAGAACGAACACTTAAAGGCGTGCCTTTTCGATTCTGGTTGGTGTATGTGTTGGTGTGTGATATCCTGGCATAATATGGGCAGATATGCCATTTATTGAAGCTTCTGGTTCTGTTGGCCTACATGAAGTTTCAGGCTTCTGGTTCTTCTCTTTGGAGGCATGCCAAACATGTGCCTGATCAGGCCCATCACTGGCTGGTGGTATCATCCAAGTGACATTGTGCTAAGTTCACTCGATGCACCGAACCGAACGTCGCATCACCTGCCCCGCGAAGCATGGACCAGATCCCCTCCGCAAGGCCCCGCAAGGCTTTGGGTTCGCATGGTTTCGCCTTTTTGTCGAGCCATGACACGCATCACCTGAGAAGCCATAGAATGATGATTGCCCTGTAAATACCACCAAACAATGGTTTACGGTTTAAAGTGGTGCGAGCGGATTTCGTCCCTCCACAGTAGGAGGCAACATGGCGTGTTGAAGCCAAGGCGGCCCATTCGTACGCGAGTGCCCAATGGCTCTGAGGCCGCACCATCATCGCTGCCTCCGAGAGGGCATGCCTCACCGAGGCACATGGAGTCGATACTTGGGTGGCCGAGGATCTGAGGTTTGTGCGTAGTGCTCGTGAGCCAAAAACAGGCGCAACGAGGTTGAGTTGATCCCACTGGAACAATGCTCTCGAAGTTTCACCACGCCGATTTGTTCCCCCACAAAGTGTCGGAAATGTAATTGGGGGTAAAGAACTGCTTTTCATCCATTTAGGAATGGTGCTGGCCTTGTGACTTGGCGGCTTGCAAGACTTCTTTTTCTTGTAGCACGAATATGTTTCCAAGTGCTGGCCACAGCGCTGACGCACACCTTGCCCGCGACCTTTCTGCAAAGCTCCGGCTGTCCAGTGGCGCCCGGCTGAAGCACCCTTTGTCGCCTTGTTAACCACGAGCATCTCATTTTGCAACGCAACTCAGGCTCCGGCGCAGGAGTTTTGACTGAGGCCCTTGCTTGCAGTTCCCTAAGGAATTGGAACCCCAAACAAACAAACAACAATGCATGTTTGCTTTCCCGGGTTTCCTTTTGGTTTGGCAACCTCGGCAGAATACCAAAGCCACGACAGGGAGTGTTTCTCCCCTGAACTTCGAGTTTCCTACCGTTTAGACACCCAAAGGAACATGCTGCATTGGGGATCCGTTTTTCTGTGAGACCATTCAAGAAACTCCCACAGCTATGGGGCCAGGTAGTCATCCCCTCTTTAGGGAGAGGGGTGTCCCCCATAAAGGGACTGTTCCCCGTGCTTTGCGGGGGGGGGAATTCGTGCAGGTACTGGCCATCATCGCGATGCTCTCAGTGCCGCCGCCTTTCAGCCGGCCCCGCTACGCGCAGAAGGCCTGGTGTGCAACAACTGGACCTCTTTTTGAACGGCATTTGGAGGGAGCCCCAAACGAACAGTTGCCGTTTTTTGTGGGATTCCCTGGGAACATACAAATAATTACAGTACCTTGCGAGGATGCACCATGCTGAGTTCCAATTTGAGGCTTCTTGGGAGCCCGGGAGCTTTTCAGCACACCTCAGTTCGGAGCTGATGGAAATCGCAGTGTGTTTTGCATCATCGGGACTCCACGCAAACACGCCAGCCATGTTGTGACATGCTTCCTGCTTGGATTAGTTGTGTGGTGGTTGGCAACTGAAACTTATCATCCACAGCTTTTGTGGTTGGGTTCAGAACTTTGCGATCCCTTGGCTGCAACTAGGCGAAGCTTTTTTGTGGTGTTTAGTTGCCCTTTGACAACCGTTCGTGGGAAAGGTCTCAGTCGCCAAACCTGGAGTCGCCAGGCAGCAGATCGTGCCCACAAGCACTTTGCGTCCGGCTATGGCGACCATTTGTCGCTGTTGGGATGCCCAGGTGCAGTTGGCAGCTGGACATCATCACTTTTGACAAGGTACTGAAAACTAAGACGTTGCAGACGGCTGCAAGTCGAGCAATGATTGCTTGACCCAGTGCCAACCTCTAACCGTTGCTTCCCTTCAATCCTGTTGTCGCAACCAAGCAAGCAAGCAAGCAAGCAAGCGAGCAAGCAAGCAAGCAAGCAAGCAAGCAACCAACCACACAAAAACAAACCTGAAACAAACACAAACATGACATACAGAAACGAAGAAACATGTGTATATATATATATATATACAGAAACAAAGAAAGAAGCAAATAATAACACCAAACACAAACCCACAATGAAGCAAGCCGGCAAGCGTGCAAGGAAGCAAGTAAGCAAGCAGAGAAATAAATGAATAAATACAGAGATAAAGATGGAAAGACAACATAAATGAACAACACAAACAGGGAAGCAAACAAGCAGACACAGGACAGAGGACTGAAGATTAAGGGCAGAGGACTGATACAGACACACGTTGTCAATCAGCACCACCAGATTCAGCTGTTCACCAGGGCCAGGCCCAGATTGCAAAGCTTGGTATTGGAGGTTAGGGATGAGGTCGACCACACAAACCAGAAGCCCAAAAAGCCCCGTGACCCCCACTGTGCAGGCCTGAGGCTGCTGTAGTTGGGCGTACTTGACCCATTTGTTCTTCATTTGGTCTCATTTCACGGGAGTCATGTGGCCTTTGGCCGCATTTGGAGATTTGGCCCATTTTGGGGGGAAGGGGGGACTTGGGGGGGGGCGGGGGGCGCTTTCTTTTTGCTGAGGCTGAACGCCTTCCAGGCCTATGTGAGCAGCGGCTCCAAGACCCAGTTCTGCCAGGAGTTCAGCTTGAATGAGACTAAAGCAAACAGGAACGAAGCTAAGGGGAAGACTTTGGGAGTTTAAAACCCTGACACTAAGCTTTTCCATTTTGGAAGCCATCATAGCCAGCAGAAGCTAAGGGGAAGACTTTGGGAGTTTAACACCCTGACACTAGCTAGCAGAAGCTAAGGGGAAGACTTTGGGAGTTTAAAACCCTGACACTAAGCTTTTCCATGTTGGAAGCCATTAAAGTCAGCAGAAGCTAAGGGGAAGACTTTGAGAGTTCAAAACCCTGACACTAAGCTTTTCCATTTTGGAAGCCATTAAAGCCAGCAGAAGCAAAGGGAAATACTTTGGGAGGTTAAATCCTGACACATCCTGACACTAAGCTTTTCCATTTTGGAAGCCATTAAAGCCAGCAGAAGCTAATGGGGAAGTCTTTGGGAGTTTAGCACCCTGACACTAAGCTTTTCCATTTTGGATGCCATTACAGCGAGCAGAAGCTAAGGGGAAGACTTTGGGAGTTTAACACCCTGACACTAAGCTTCTCCATTTTGGAAGGCATTACCGCGAGCAGAAGCTAAGGGGAAGACTTTGTGAGTTTAAAACCCTGACACTAACCTTTTCCTTTTTGGAAACCATTATAGCCAGCAGAAGCTAGGGGGAAGACTTTGGGAGTTTAACACCCTGACACTAAGCTTTTCCATTTTGGAAGCCATTATAGCCAGCAGAAGCTAACGGGAAGACTTCGAGAGTTTAACACCCTGACACTAAGCTTTTCCATTTTGGAAGCCATTAAAGCCAGCAGAAGCTAAGGGGAAGACTTTGGGAGTTTAACACCCTGACACTAAGCTTTTCCATTTTGGAAGCCATTATAGCCAGCAGAAGCTAAGGGGAAGACTTTGGCAGTTTAAAACCCTGACACTAAGCTTTTCCATTTTGGAAGCCATTATAGACAGCAGAAGCTAAGGGGAAGACTTTGGCAGTTTAAAACCCTGACACTAAGCTTTTCCATTTTGGAAGCCATTATAGCCAGCAGAAGCCAAGGGGAAGACTTTGGGAGTTTAGAACCCTGACACTAAGCTTTTCCATTTTGGAAGCCATTATAGCCAGCAGAAGCCAAGGGGAAGACTTTGGGAGTTTAACACCTTGACACTAAGCTTTTCCATTTTGGAAGCCATTAAAGCCAGCAGAAGCTAAGGGGAAGACTTTGGGAGTTTAACACCCTGACACTAAGAATTTCCACATTGGAAGCCATTATAGACAGCAGAAGCTAAGGGGAAGACTTTGGCAGTTTAAAACCCTGACACTAAGCTTTTCCATTTTGGAAGCCATTATAGCCAGCAGAAGCTAAGGGGAAGACTTTGGGAGTTTAACACCTTGACACTAAGCTTTTCCATTTTGGAAGCCATTAAAGCCAGCAGAAGCTAAGGGGAAGACTTTGGGAGTTTAAAACCCTGACACTAAGAATTTTCATTTTGGAAGCCATTATAGCCAGCAGAAGCTAAGGGGAAGACTTTGGGAGTTTAACACCCCGACACTAGCCAGCAGAAGCTAAGGGGAAGACTTTGGGAATTTAACACCCTGACACTAAGCTTTTCCATTTTGGAAGCCATTAACGCCAGCAGAAGCTAAGGGGAAGACTTTGGGAGTTTAACACCCTGACACTAAGCTTTTCCATTTTGGAAGCCATTATAGCCAGCAGAAGCAAAGGGGAAGACTTTGGGAGTTAAAACCCTAACACTAAGCTTTTTCATTTTGGAAGCCATTAAACCCAGCAGAAGCAAAGGGAAAGACTTTGGGAGTTTAACACCCCGACACTACGCTTTTCCATTTTGGAAGCCATTAAAGCCAGCAGAAGCTAAGGGGAAGACTTTGGGAATTAAACACCCTGACACTAAGCTTTTCCATTTTGGAAGCCATTAAAGCCAGCAGAAGCTAAGGGGAAGACTTTGGGAGTTTAACACCCTGACACTAAGCTTCTCTGTTTTGGAAGCCATTATAGCGAGCAGAAGCTAAGGGGAAGACTTTAAGAGTTTAAAACCCTGACACTAAGCTTTTCCATGTTGGAAGCCATTAAAGCCAGCAGAAGCTAAGGGGAACACTTTGGGAGTTTAAAACCCTGACTAAGCTTGTCCATTTTGGAAGCCATTAAAGCCAGCAAAAGCTAAGGGAAAAACTCTGGGAGATTAACACCCTGACACTCAGCCTTTCCATTTTGGAAGCCATTAAAGCCAGCAGAAGCTAAGGGGAAGACTTTGGGAGTTTAACACCCTGACACGAAGCTTTTCCACTTTGGAAGCCATTAAAGCCAGCAGAAGCTAAGGGGAAGACTTTGGGAGTCTAACACCCTGACACTAGCCAGCAGAAGCTAAGGGGAAGACTTTGGGAATTTAAAACCCTGACACGAAGCTTTTCCACTTTGGAAGCCATTAAAGCCAGCAGAAGCTAAGGGGAAGACTTTGGCAGTTTAAAACCCTGACACGAAGCTTTTCCACTTTGGAAGCCATTAAAGCCAGCAGAAGCTAAGGGGAAGACTTTGGGAGTTTCACACCCTGACACTAAGCTTTTCATTTTGGAAGCCAGCTAAGGGGAAGACTTTGGGAGTTTAACACCCTGACACTAAGCTTTTCCATTTTGGAAGCCATTAAAGCCAGCAGAAGCTAAGGGGAAGACTTTGGAGTTTAACACCCTGACACTAGCCAGCAGAAGCTAAGGGGAACACTTTGGGAATTTAACACCCTGATACTAAGCTTCTCCATTTTGGAAGCCATGAAAGCCAGCAGAAGCTACGGGGAAGACTTTGGGAATTTAAAACCCTGACACTAAGCTTTTTCATTTTGGAAGCCATTAAACCCAGCAGAAGCTAGGGAAAGACTTTGGGAGTTTAACACCCTGACACTAAGCTTTTCCATTTTGGAAGCCATTAAAGCCAGCAAAACCTAAGGGAAAGACTTTGGGAGTCTAACACCCTGACACTAGCCAGCAGAAGGTAAGGGGAAGACTTTGGCAGTTTAAAACCCTGACACGAAGCTTTTCCACTTTGGAAGCCATTAAAGCCAGCAGAAGCTAAGGGGAAGACTTTGGCAGTTTAAAACCCTGACACGAAGCTTTTCCACTTTGGAAGCCATTAAAGCCAGCAGAAGCTAAGGGGAAGACTTTGGGAGTCTAACACCCTGATTTAAAACCCTGACACGAAGCTTTTCCACTTTGGAAGCCATTAGAAGCTAAGGGGAAGACTTTGGCAGTTTAAAACCCTGACACGAAGCTTTTCCACTTTGGAAGCCATTAAAGCCAGCAGAAGCTAAGGGGAAGACTTTGGGAGTCTAACACCCTGACACTAGCCAGCAGAAGCTAAGGGGAACACTTTGGGAATTTAAAACCCTGACACGAAGCTTTTCCACTTTGGAAGCCATTAAAGCCAGCAGAAGCTAAGGGGAAGACTTTGGCAGTTTAAGACCCTGACACGAAGCTTTTCCACTTTGGAAGCCATTAAAGCCAGCAGAAGCTAAGGGGAAGACTTTGGCAGTTTAAAACCCTGACACGAAGCTTTTCCACTTTGGAAGCCATGAAAGCCAGCAGAAGCTAAGGGGAAGACTTTGGCAGTTTAAAACCCTGACACGAAGCTTTTCCACTTTGGAAGCCATTAAAGCCAGCAGAAGCTAAGGGGAAGACTTTGGGAGTCTAACACCCTGACACTTAAGGGCCCTGAGCTTTTCCACTTTAAAGCCAGCAGAAGCTAAGGGGACCTTTGCCAGCCTTTGGCAGTTTAAAACCCTGACACGAAGCTTTTCCACTTTGGAAGCCATGAAAGCCAGCAGAAGCTACGGGGAAGACTTTGGGAATTTAAAACCCTGACACTAAGCTTTTCCATTTTGGAAGCCATGAAAGCCAGCAGAAGCTAAGGGGAAGACTTTGGCAATTAAAATCCCTGACACTAAGCTTTGGGGGACCCATGTTGGAAGTCACTAAAGCCAACAGAAGCCAAGATGAAGACTTTGGGGCAGTTTTGGACGGTTTCAGTGACTCCCCGCCAGGCCTGGGTCCGTATGGACTCGGAAAAGGAATGCTGGCAAAAATCAATAATTATATTTCTTCCACTCCCAAACGTAATATGACTCTGTTTTGCAAGGCCCTTTTAGTTTTTTGCTGTGGGGGTCTCAAAACACAAAACTACCATTGGGGTGCGGACTGGATAATGTTTCACCTCCATGTGAAAGGTCCTTTCGACAGTGTCACTGAACAGAACCCAGCAAAGAGACTCTGGCAGCTATCGAACGGCCTCTCGCGCGGATTGAGCAACCGCCCAAGAATGTAGAGACGTAGGGCAAGGGGAAGGGACGGGGCGTCAGGGGGAGCGGGTAAAGCGAAGGTGAGCGTATGGAGTGACTGCCATGCCAAATTGAAATGTTCAGAAGGAAAATCAGCTGCCTGGCGAATGATTTCACTAAATCAACCCTGAATCAACTCTAGACCAGCTTGGAGACGCACATTTGTTTTTGAAGGAGAACTTTCTCTCAGAGCGCAACATGAAGCAGGCGGAGAATGCCTCGGTCTCAGCCCGGTTCAAAGGGCAGAGCCGGGTTGAGGCTCAGGCCAAGGGCTCGGGGCTATACGGCAGCTCGTTTGACGCAGACGGTCAGTGACGCAATATCTGGATGTTGTACCTGTTCATTGCGTGTACCATTGCAGGCTGGCAGGCTGAAATGTCATGTGCAGGAGAAGTGACCCACTCACAAAGCGAGCAGAGGATGAGATGAGCGTGTTACATGCTTAAACACTGGCAACGACCCCCGCTTTTTTGGATATGTCAAGGGAAAGAAGAAGACACCAACCCCCGAGGTACCTATTTCGGGAGCTGAGCTCATGCGTAAGCACGGGCACTGGCCCCCTTTTTTTTGCGGATATTTCAAAGAAGACACCAAGCCTCCGGGTAGCCTCCTGTCCACTAACACGCAACCGGACTGAGGGCTCCTGGAAGACCAGTTTTCTTCAACATGGGCACTCAGGTGCGTTCCATGTGGATATGGGTCAAAATTACACCACTAGGGAACTACAGGTTTTAGTCCATGTTTCCATTTACCAGGTTCCATTTTGGGCACCTATTTTTGACCCACATCCATGTTAGTGTGCCCATATTAGTAGACCAGAGGGTACCTAGTTTGGGAACAGCAACTTGCCGCCTCCAGAGCCTGGCTCAGGTTCGGAAGCAGCTGGCGTCCATCGCTCGCAAGGCCAAGCTGGAAGATGCCTCCGGCGAGATGTGGCTCGGATTTACATTCCTTTCAACCCATTTTTCGCGGAAGGGCTAAGGGGAGAGTAGTTCAATGGGCAACTTCAGGCTGAAGCGTGTTTGGTGAGTGCAGTGCAGCGCTTTTCCTGGAAGTGGGTGGGTCGTTTCATTTGGCTCGAAATTGTTTAGAGGTGCCACTGGCCCAAGACAAAGGTTTAGCCCCAAAGAGTGCCGACGATTTTCGGCAACACAGCGCCCAAATCATGCCAGGAGGCTTCTCGGAAACGCCCACATGCCGGCAATCCAAGGTTGACGCACAGCATCCGCAGAGCGTTCATTGAGGGCTTCTTCATGCAATGCCCGGACCTCGTTTTTTGCTTCCTGAGAAGGACATGAATTGGACCAGCTGGGTCAGAAGGGAGATTAATCGAAGCAAGTTGGGCGTGCGCTTTCGGAGTAGTTTTGAGGGGGAATCGAAATGACACCAACAATTGAAAGGGATCCCTTGTTTTAACACATGCCTAAAGGGCTCGAACCCCTTTGTAGTGCCTGTTCATTTTTGGGATGTTCACCATTCAGTTTGTCACATCGATCCTTGGAGACGCACAGCCTATTTGAAAGACTGAAGATGTGTAGGCAGCAGGTTAATTGCTTCGATCGCACAAAATTGTCTTGCCCAAGACGAGGATGCTTGATGGAATTTGGCACTGGACCATTGGGTGTTTCCTGTGGCCTTTGGTCATGTGGGTGCGATGACCAGAATGTTGATGCTTGGACATGCTGATGGATGCACAAGGCACTGATAAGGACTTTTGAGGGTAATCAACATGGATCCATCCGGAACGGCACATTCATATGTGATTTCAGAGTTTTGCAGACAGTCCGACAGCCTAAACACCTGTTCGAACAAGAGCCTTCACCTTTTGGCGGGTGCAATCCAGTGTTGACCGTATATTGTGCTGGTTATCGGTGGCCATCGCTCTTTGATAGACTCCACAAAACTCGTGATTGAGTCTGCCAAATCGCCACACCATTGTATTTGCATGTTATTTGTATTTGCATATTAACATTGCTTGAGTGAGGCGAGCAGATCCTTCGGAGCTCAATCCTTGCAGGGCCACCAGAACGAACCACGGCATGTTTCCGATGGATGATTTTCTACAATACGTGATCAGATGACTGTTGAGGTGTCCTTCATTTTGGGAGACAGGTAAGCCATCAGATTCTTTCAAAGCAAGTCGCCATGTGGTTGAACAGGATAATATGAGAAGAGTCGATGTTGCTTCCATTGAAAAACAAGGTGGCCGGTGGATTGGTTCAACCTTGTCCAAGTGCGAGTCAGATGCACCTGTGGAAAATGGATAGGGGTCTTAGAATTGGCCCCAGGCTGCTTTTTTTGTTGGGGGGGGGGTCCTGAATGTGAGGGCACACTGACATTGTTTCATGCTTTGAGGGGGGAGGGGGGGATTTTTATTTAACAGCAACCAACAACGGCATCATTTCTTTCCATGGCCACTGGGCAAGTAGGGTAGGATACCTCTGAATGCTTTGGAAGATATTCAATCAGCATGCCGTGAGCACATCGGGGCGTTGAGGCGCCCACCTAGACGAGAGTGGCAAGCACTATCTCACTGTGCGGGACCAGCAGATGGTGGCAATCCATCCCTCCTCGCCCTTTGGCAGCAGCGAATGGCTTCTGTCGCGAGAAGACTTGTCACTTGAAAGTTGGCCGTTCGAATTGCATAACGTTGCAACATGCGATGTCGGAATGTGTTAAGCGTTTCAGCTTCTACAGACATCAAACACACATCATATGCGCAAGGAGAGGCCCGGAGTGGGGATAATTCCCATCAGTTAACGCAGCGAAGCATGCCCTCGTTTCAAACCGGAAAGGTATTCAAAGTTCGAACAATTTTGAGAGAGTTGGTTGTCAGCCGTTTGTACACTCCATGACCGCAATTGCGGCTGTTGAGGAATGGTCTACATTTGCTATTTTGAGCTACTGCAAATTGAGTCAGCCTGGAAAGGTCATGCCTGAACTCTTCAGTTGTGCTGCAGTTTCACAATGTTGTACTGTCAAAGCTCAACAAAACTACGACAACGACCCCAGCCACCCTACTCTGTTGTTGGTGGTTTGCTTTGATAAAATTTGGATGCTTGAACGGAGCAATAGATTGCTTGTCATTCTGCCAGTCTTAATGCGATCAACTGCAACTGCTACTAACCATTCGGAGCTAGTATCAACCTCAATCCATTGGATCTACTTGGAATATGTTGTTGACTTGCGTATTGAAAGAACTGCAGACGCGGATACAACATACACAAGGTATAGGCCATATCATGTTTCTGGATTATTATGATATTGTGCAGCAGGTCGCACCACTAATACTCCAGCCAAGGACAGAGCTTTTGTGACACACTCAATTGTGATGCCGCAGGATACAGCAGACTCGACGGAATGAAAGAAGACGTGACACAGGAAGTCATTTTCTTACAGCACATGTCTTGCTGGCACTGATAGGGCCGTATGGGGCTGGGGCTCACGCGGAAGCACCGCTGGCTCCAGTCCTTCAATGCGTCCAAGTCAGTTCCTCCCTTCAGATTGAATGGCACGACTGACTCGGGACAGCCACAACTCGCTGCCGAGATGGGGAATGCGATATTTGCAGTGGGAGCTGGGAAGATGCACCTTGCACACGTCCAACATGGGGAATGTATGGCAATTAAACAGCCAAGAAAAAAGGAACAACCAAGAATGGGGTTGTGGTACTTTACAACGAAACTTGCCTATGATACAGGAGTAAAATTGAGCAGGACGGGGTGGACGTAAGTTAACAACAAGCAGAACCATCAGTGAGGCAGTCAGGGGCTGTTTCCGGCCGAAGCGAGACTTCTTTGTGGATCGAGCCAATCAGCAGAAAATATGATTATGGCGGCTTGTGTTTGCGGTTTGAAGCCCTCAGAGTGACAAGCGAAACCTTGCTTTTCCCGTGAAGCCATTCGCAAACGGCCGAAAAAGAGGGAGAACCGATGGTTTTTGAATGCTGTAAAGATACATGTGCAAGACATATTATTGCAGAGTCGTGCTAGGAATATTCAGCTAAACCAATCATATGCTACTAGTCACCAGCCAGAAAAATGCCAAGCCGATTTTAGAAACATGCTAGACATCTACCGAGGAACTGAAGAAGACATGTGCTAGACATGTTTAGTAGTAGGCTTCTACCAAAGTTGGCACTTCAAACAAACACGCAGCATGGGCACACACAACAATTTCTTTCGTTAAAGTCCGGCTGTTGTGAGGAATTCCAAGAGTCTGCAGCACATCCTATCCTGGAAAGAGACAGATTCGCCACACCCTTCGCCTAGGAGATAGATACTGTGGGGTTTCTCCCTTTGTTTGCTCAGATTTTTCCCAAACCGAGAGATGGGATTGCAGGACCTTTACTCTGGGAGAGTTGTTTTCCCCCAGCTTTGGACAGAAATCAATGGGCTGCCGGATTGTTTTGTGGGAGGTTCTGCTTTTAGATGTTTGTAGGCTTGTTCTCCAGAGAATCCCAAAAGCATGAACTTGCTGCAAATAGGAAATACATATGAGTCAATGAGTGATATGTAGTATTTCTTTTAGTTTTGGGTGTGTGGGGGGGTTGGGGGGCAACCATCTCAATGGCAGAAAAGCCAGAGACTCTCCAAACAATTCCACATTTATTGGCTCATTGCGTTCCTTTATATTTATTGTTGTTTGTTTTTGGTGTGGGGTTTCCTGCAGAATCCGCTACCAAAGAATTGGTGCCTATTGTTGTCCAGGAGAAATGGCCACTGGGCAAGTAAGACATGGAATTCCGATGATCCGCGCTCAAGGTTCCTGCAGCACAAGCCCGAGTGGGCCGGAGCCTAAAGCTTTCTTCGAGGGAGAAACAAACCCGCAAACCGCTACGACGAGTACAACTGCTGGGGACTCACAAAGAGCTACATGTGTCAGGTACCACACACACACATACGTACGTGCATACATGCAAGCATGCATTCATACTTTGTACGTGCCGGCGTGCATGCATACATTTCTACGCAAGTGCATTGCATGAATGGTATATATGTATATATGCTTGTCCCCTCTTCCCAAAATCTACCAACATTGCATTGTTCATTATTTTGCGATTCAGCATGAGAAGCGTGACTTCAAAGCCAGTTTGAGGTAAGTGAGATTCAAGATTCCCCGGGCATCTTTTTCCAGCATCTTGAACATCTCGAATCTTATCGACTGGTAGAAAGCGATTGGCAGCTCCAGATCAAGAACACACATTTCTTCTCAGTATAAGAGTAGTACGCAAAGTACACTATGGCAGCTTCACAGTTCCTGGGTCAGCGCCGTGATTGTGTTTCTCGTATCATTTTGCAGGGGAAAAACAGCAGACCTTCGATTTTAGAGAGATGATTTCTGTCCTAGCTAATTTGCTAGTTGAAATTGAATGCCACATCAAGTTTAACAATGCTCCATTTCCTTGCGCGTTTCCATGTGCATTCAGATTCAACTCTGTTCAAATAACACTTGGAAAGCACATCCTATCACTATCGAATATACGTGTTGTTTATCTAGTCTCATTTCTAGAATACAGTCATGATTGAGCATCAAATATGAGACAAATACCAAATTAGCTTGCTTTAAACCAAATTCAGCTTTAAGCAACTGCCTTTACGACCTATTCAAGTTGCAAGTTGAAATGAAGATCCGCTTCAATGTCCAAAGAACCACCCTTACCGACGTCCATTGATGTTTTGACTTACGAACATCCGCGAAGCCAACAGGAAGGATGTCAACCATGGATCTGCTCCTTGGGTGTCAAACCGCAGTGCATGTCATGTTTCCCCTCACAAATGAAGCTCGAGCTGGGCAGATGGAACGTGAAGGGCCTGTGAAAAAGCACGGAGTTTCTGGAAACACTCTCTTTTGCTTGGGCTGGACAGAATGGAGTCTGGGGGAATCTTGATTTCAGGCCTTCCCCCAAAGAAAACGAAAGCGATTGAAGCACGTCGCAACATATCCGAAGCTCTCAGCTTAGTTCGCAACATGTTGCGCAATATTTGGGAAATTGAATGCTGCGCAACATTTCCGCTGGACCAACAAAACAAAGAAAAAAGAAGGCAACAAAAAAAGAGAGCGAACACAAACTTTCCAGCCACACGGTGTGGGTAAGCTTGTTCTTTTGGTGTTTGTTTGCTTTGCCTTATTGATTATTGGTTGGTTTGCCAAATGTTGGCCCAAAATGTTGCGCAGCATTTGGGAATTTGTGCGCAACCTTTCCACTGGACCAACAAAAGCAAATGCGGAAATCAAAGAAAAAGAAAACATCCCACCCCCACCACGGCTGGAAATGTGGGGAAAGTTGCGCAAACAGCCAAAATTACAGCCAGAGATGCTACTTCTGGTTTTTAGTTGGGAGTGGGCCACATGCCACAGTTAGAAGATGTTTCCTGGCTACCGGCGTTTGTTTCATTTGCCAGTTGCCAGTGCTGTGGAAAGGAAGCTTGATGACAAACAAACCAGCTAAATCGTTCATTTCCTCTATCTTTCCCATCAACACAGCCCCAAAAAGACGTCGTCTTAAAACAGCGGCATCCCCATATCTATCGTCGGGAAGCTTTCCACGGAAAGGCATTTGACAAGACGGTTCCCAGGTTCTGGCCCTTGCATCATACCTGAAACCTGTCAAATTGCGACTGCTCGGCGATGAAAGGATTGCTGAAGACTTACAGCAGTGGTTAGCATGCAGCTCGGAAGCTTGGACAAGCCCGCAATAAACAAAGGGTGCCACGAACCATTCGCATGTTTGCCAAGTGAGTCTATTGGATGTATTGGATGTGGGAAGACACCTGTCTTTTTGTGACGCGCTCGTCTTAGGTCCTGTATCATGAGACTGTGGTCACCGATAGGCGGGGGTCGCCGCACTGGCATTGCAGCTTGGGCGGCAAGTTTACGTGATCGGAAAGAACCTGCGTCATGTGGCTGTGGGTCAAAAATCGGTGCCCAAAATGGCTTTCCCTGGTAAATGGAACCAAGGACTAAAACCAGCGGTCCAATTCCTGGTGTTTTTTATTTTGACCCACACCCATATGGCAAGGGGAAAGCGTAAAGCGTCCCAGCTTTGGGGCTTTGAGTTTGTTTTTTGCTTTCAATGGCATAGTTCAGATTGCGTTCAGATCGACGCCGGACGTTCAGAATGCTTCATATGTTCAAATTCCTCAATGTGCAGAGTGAAGGTGGCAAGCTGTCACCTGGTGAAAGACGAGTGCCCGTAACTTTGCTTGGACATCGGTGGTCACTGTTGGATGAGACGAAACACGCTTTGCAGGGGGGTCAACGAGGGTCGACGTGCAAGGAAGTTGACGTTGGTGACATGTTCAATCCTTTTGCTATGCGTTACATTCTGCAGGTGGGGCGTCGAAAGGCCCCGAAACAGTCAGAGAACATGGAACATGCAGCGTTCCGCTTCCCTTGGCCCAGTCCTTGCTCATGCCGCCCCTCGGAACTAAACCACTGAAGCAAGACCACCAAGCCAAGTTTGGCTGAACCTGTGCTAACCCAATACCCAATACCACAACACCAGACCTATGGATCACATATTTGCAGACACATGTACTGCCACATGCTTGTTGAAAGATTCTATAATGTATGCACACACGCACTCACTTGAAACAGCACTCTTTCTGTTTGTTTATGGCATGTACACGCACAGAGGTAGCTGCATGTGTACTTGCAGGGCGAAGACATTCCGCTCTACCGCTCGTTTCAACAGCCTACTTCACAGACGCATTTGTTGACGGGAGGCTGATACAGATGCGCGGGAAGAGGGTGCAACTGCATGCTATAAAGAGCCCTGCAGACACTTGTCATGGGATACTTGTCTATGACTTCACCGAATTCTGAGTGCTGAGGGTCTATTTCCTGGACCTTCGTGGGTAGAGACAGCCTTGATTCAGCCGGCAGGTGCTACATGCGGAATGCTACAACGATCCCACCTGAGATGCTGATTGAGGCACTTGGCATGGGAAACCGCTTCGGCGCTTTCCCCAAAGGTGACACGAAAATGGGAGTCCTGAACAAGTGGGTTTGTGCGAGGTTTCACGCGAATCGTCAGACTACTTTCCTTAAGTGGAACTTGCTATTGGTGCTTTCATGGAGTTTGCTATTGTAACTTGTAACTCACGTTGGCGAACTGAGAATTAATATTTGTTTGGCCATGGTTTGTTTGTCCCTCAGCGGCGTTCATTGAGCCTCAAACAAATCCAGCGGTCTTTGGGTCAAGTTTGCGCGACTTGTGGAAATTGCAAGCCATGGCAAGTCCGTGTTGGAAGTCTGGTAGATGCATTGTCGCGCTTCTTTGAGCCTGTTTCGGCAGAGTATCAACGGTGAACCGCGAAGTGAGAAATCGTCTTGAGCCTGGTGTCCTTACAGCGTTGAACCGCCCTACTACGAACTAGTTTCACATATCAAGCAAAACATAAGGCAACATAGCACGCTCTTCGACCCTTGGGCTCATAGATGTTGCTAAGCAGTTAATAAATCCACAGTACTGAATGAAAGCAGTTTGTTGGCTCGCCGAACGCGAGCGCGCTTTGTCCCAGGCGTCACCCAAGTTCTACCATCCAGAGAGGCGTGGTGGCTTTGTGCGCTGCTCTCGCAGCCGTGGGGTTGTCCACCTTGCAACTCTGGCGGCTAACTGGTCGGACCAGTTACCAGCGCACGAATTTGGCATATATGGAGACTTTTGTCTTGTGGCAGCATTCGGACCTGAAAGGTCGACAGCTTGCATTGGCTATATTTTGGCCACACTGCTCGCACGGCTGGGTTTATCTTCGGCTCCGCACAGCCCGGCCAGGTGTAAGCTGCATGAGCATGCCCGGAAGATCCTTCGCCGTGCTTTGCCACGGGTGAAGCCTGGCCCTGAGAGGTTGAGAGATGTGAGGGGCATTGGATTTGACCCGCCGTGCCCATTTGGTGGCAGCAATGTGGGTCTTTCCCGACATAGGGACCCCCCCAATGTTTCAGGTCTGCTCTTTTTTGGCTTTGACATGTGTTAAAGCGGAAAAAGAGCAGACCCCCTGAAACATCGGGGTCCCTACCAGAACGGAGGGGCCAAAAAAACGTTCGAAAGTCATTCCTTGGATTCATTTGCCTCTGGACTTGGTGACCTCAGGTCCTGAACCTGGGAGCAGGCGGGATGTCCAGCTGCGGAAGGGGATGGTTGGGTGGCCCAAGCCCATGCCTTGCGGGGGCTTCTCGATCTCCAGTTCACGTTTCTCCCAAAAGGCAGAACTGGAAGCGAGCATGTTTCGGCAGCCTGTAAGAATGCGTGTTTCTTGAAATTAGGGAATCCTCCAGGTGATTGAGTTGCTTTTGTTTTCCCCTTCAATACGGAGGTCACCCATTTTTAGACAGACCCCGTGTGTGACACACGTTGTGCCTTGCCGAGATGAATCCCTTCAGGCGAAGTGAACAGCAGGATGTTTCAGGACTTGCAATCCAGCTGTAGCGGGCTGCTCAAGGGTGATCCCTTTTTCTTTCGTCCGCCTTTGTAGCTTTTGGAAGGATTCGGGTTCCGTTTCGACCAGTCGAGACTGCGTGTAGCTGTGAGGCATTGAAAGAGTTATGGCCTGGCTGAAATGTGCCTGGCATCATGACCCATTGAGAGGGCTATTCAACCAGCCTGGCCCGCCACTATGAGAGGGCTTGTGTCTTTCAGATGGTTCGCCAGTGAGACATGAAAACAACGCATTGTTGGGCCAGCAGCATCCAAAGGGCATGACATTGTTGATGTCTTGTTTGTGCTTCAGGCACAAAGAAGTTTTTGTTCGGGCAGCACTGAATTTAGTGCATCATGATGCACATGAGTGCAGCTGAACAGCGTAACATGGAGAGGCGGCATTCAACAAATTTTGGCCCTGGACTATGGAAACCGACCGAAGGTTGCTGAAAGTGGTCTTCCAGAGCGCTTCCCTCGGCTTCCTTGCAGCTATTTGCCTGCTCTGCGCGTTTCATCTCAACGCAGAGTTGACAGCTTTTTCTTTGCGCAGGTGCACAGCCAATCTGCGCCGCCCAAAGCTGGTCTTGGCAAGCAAAAGGCTCTCGTTTCGAATTTCGCTGGGGCAAGTTGATCAGTGACCTGTTGGCAAATCGCAACTGAATCGCACATGTTGCGTTGCTTGTACGTGGCACGGGAGGAAGGTGTTGCAAGGCAGGTGTTCCCAAGATCGGTCTTGGTCTGTAGGGGCCCTGTGCCGAATGCCAACTCCGATGGCGAGGTTTGGTTTAGTCACACTTGACAATGGGAGTCAGAGTGATGTGTGAAGAAGGGGAACGTGTGGTTTAGTTGCTTTTCTTCTGTACCTCCTATGCGAGGGATTTCTAATCCATTTTGGTTAAAGAAGGCTATGATACTATTGTCCGAAGAAAAAGCCTCATAAATGCAGCACGCAGCCACCACATGGTGAGCTACAAGGTTTGATTGTGAAGAGTTGCGCTTCTGGCAATGTCTCTTTGTTTATTATCGCTGATGACTTTGAGGCACATTGAGAGACACAGGTGACCAGCCTCTTTTTTTTAAACGGACACTATGCTTGAGGAGTATAAGGGCAGGCGCAGTGATGGGGCCTAACGTCACTTCGTGCCGCACCCATGGAGTAGCTTGCTCACATAAGCTGTTTGGTGCCGGCTAGCATCGAAACACCGGGATAGCTGCATGCCTGCCTGAACCGCAACCTAGCCACAATAACAGCCTGGAAAGGTGAAGTTCGCCAAGCCTGGAGGGCGGCCGCTGTGTTGATTTAGGGTTGTCTTGACATCGTCGGTGCTGAGCATGACTCAATCGCTGAAGGCGTGAGTCCATATTTGCTTGTATATATACATATACTTATATATATATATATATGCTACGAAAAAATGTATATACATATATAGTATAATACATATATATATACATATACACATTCAGCCTTTGAACGGTTCAAGTGATCTATCTTTTTTCTACCCTGCAGTGTTGTTCCAGCCAAGTCCGGCTGTGCGCTGATTCTTCTTGCGTCTTTGTCGACCCGCCCGCGATCAGGCTCCAGCTCAGGCCGTTCATATGCCAGTTTCTACATAATACAGTCAGAGGCCGGTTGGTCGCGTGGCTTGTTGGCACATGTTGGCACCATGGATTTGTTTGGTTTCTGTCAGCACACGTTACTGTAATGATACTTGATTTTCATTGGAGCTGGCTGTGCTGGAAATGGCCTCAATCCGCAAGAGTCACAACATACCGCGGCCAGCGCACCATTCAATCGGAAACAGCACCTTTGGGACAAGGCGATTGGAAGCCTTCTTGCACAGGTCAGCAGTTTCAACGGAACCACTGCGTGGGTTCAGGTGCGGGACGTAGAGCGCACTATGGAACACCTCATATACAAGCCCAACAATCGATCCAACTTCAGTGGCTGCGGGCCGAGCAGCCCCAATAAAGTGGCAAAGGTGTCTTGCCCCTTTTGGCCTTTGGCGTGAGTGGCCACTGGCAGCAACGCCATGGCTTCTCCACTTGCACGCGCCATGCACGATGAAATGTTTGCGCCCGAGGCGGGCAGCGCCAGGTCCCCGTGCGAAGATTTCAGCGGCCCCTGAAAGTCCCTCTGCCGGCCCTTGAGGCCTTGTTCGGCCGTGTTTGACCTTGCGTTCTTTCCTTGTTGGTTTCAAGGGGAATCTATCACGACTGGAAAGATGTTCATTTTGTCCAGGAGACTTAAGCAAATGGATGTTCGGGCAGTCTGGGTCCATGATACAATTGCTGAAGATTATATTTCTTCTTTCGACCTTGCATGCATCGGTTGATGATTCGCGAACGTTGCCAGTTCGCAGGCACACTGCAAAGCTGAATCTCGGGGGCTGGCTTTTCGGCCCCGTTGCGGTGCCACGTTGTGCCCGTTGTGCCGGGTTTGCAAGGGTCACACTAGGGCACTTGTATGACCTTAACAATCTCCAAGTTAGTTTGGTTCTCATGCTGGCCTCGGTGTCGCACGAGCTTTCGCGGGGTGGTACTCAGGGAGATGCAAGCCATTGGCTCCCAATGGCTTGTGCGAAAGGCGGTTTGAGGCGATCAAAGATTGGATCCAAACTAAACTGCGGCTTCGAATATTGTTCAGAAGCACCCCCACCTAGCTCCGCATGCTCCAGTTTGCATGTGTCAAACCAGGGACTTGTGTTTAACGATTCCCTGGTTCACACAGTGGCCAACAGTGTGCCGCTCGTTTTAACAGCCGCATCATGGCAGGGCAGGTCTCCAAGACATCGTTTGATGTTTGCCAGGGATGCTTTGCGACCAGTTGGCTCGCCACTACATCTGAACAGACCATCATGGTGTGAAACACGAGAACTCCATTTTCGTTGATATGTAAAGACAAAAGGGAAACCAACAGAAACACACCTTCTTTGGAGGGCTTAGCTCCTTGTAAGGCTGTTTGACAGCAACTTGCCCCTTTGCCCCTTGGATTGCAACGGGGGTTTACTTCCTATGCATTGTTTGTCAGGTATGCTGGATTCGGATGGGCTCCCTTTTGTCACCGTCCAAACTTTATTTCTTACCCCTCCTTTATTTTACCCTGAACCCCCCCACCCTAAAAGGTTTCTGACAAAGAAGAGATGGAGGAGCGGCAGAAAGACAGGGGGGAGGGTGTTAAAAAGGAAGGGGGGAGGGTTAAACAAAAAGCGCGAAGGGGGGGACCATGCGGCCCAGGCGCCGCCAGTTCAGCCACCCACTGCACATGAGCTTAGGCCTGGGGCATTCGGTTGCCGAGCCGCACGCAGACATTTTGCCGGTTGCATGACATCTTGATGGGCAGGGAGTTATGGGTGGCAATGCATTGTGAAGGATAGTTTAGGGAAGGAAAGAAAGTGAGCCAGCGAAAGAGAAAGAGAGAAAGAGAAAGAGGAACAGAAAGAAAAAGAGAAATAGAGAGACATCGAGAAAGAGAGACAGACAAAGATAAAGATACACGAAGAGAGAGAGAGAGAGAGAGAAAGAAATAAAAGCAAGAGAGAAAAAGCTTGCTCCAAACTAAAGCTTCTAGGTTTTCAAACTTCTCCTCCCCCCTCCCCCCCAAAAGCCAGACATTACTTTTAGTAGTATTCAAATTCAACTACTCAACGGGCTGAGCTTTGGGCCCGTTTGGCACGACGCCAGTCTCAAGGCAACGTTGTTTATTTGAATGAAGGTTCCCTGTTGTTTGATGCTGGACGAGTGGTGTGCAGAAGGCTCGATTTTGTTGGACATGTTGGCCAGCGAACTCCTCTCGGAGAGAGAGTGCATGGACTTTCTCCACGCGCAGATAGGCGGAAGCGTTGCAGCCAGGGAGGATGACGTTGTAGTTCAATTGTTCCGTACGATGCACGGGCCACCATCAAGGTTCAGTTTGAATTTCGACATGTTTGGCGCCAAAGGCTTTCAACAGTGACCTTCCCAAAGAACCATACCCGAGTTTTGATATAGTATGATGGCGCATGATAGTGTCAGCTCCACTACCAGTGTCCCGCTGCCAGTATACCACTGCGACTATCACTGCAGCAGCAGCTCCTTCTGCTACTGCTGCTATTATTACTACAGCTACCACTACCACTACTACCACCACCACCACCACCACCACTACTACTACTACTACTACTACCGCTACTATTATTACTTCTACTGCTGCTGCTGCTGCTGCTGTTGCACTACCACTACCACTCCACGACCACTACCGCTACTACCAGCCGCAGCAGCAGCAGCAGCAGCACTGCACCACCACGACGACAACAACAACAACAACAACAACAACAACAACAACAACAACAACAACAACAACAACAACAACAACAACAACAACAACAACAACAACAACAACAACAACAACAACAAGTATGTCCACCACCATCACCACGACTGCTATTACTACTACTACTGCTACTACTACGACTATTTCTACCTACATGCTACATGCTATATGCTACGTACTACCCTACAACCAACTACAGGCTGCCCGCTACCTACTACTTTCTACCTACCACCTACTACCTAGTACCTACTACCTACTACTTACTACTACTGCTGCTTACTGCTTACTACTTGCTACTTGCTCCTTGCTACTTGCTCCTTGCTACTTACAACTTGCTACTTGCTACCAACTTGCTACTCAGTACTAACTACTAAGTGCTAACTCTCGAACACTACCACTGCCATTACCACTACCAGTACGATTGTCAGTATACCACTACCATTACCATTACAACAGAAACAACTCTTGGCACCTTGAGATGCTTAGGCACCAACCGGGTGAATAGTACTTTCCGCAATCCAAACCGGCTTGGTCGTAAGCCGGGGTTAGATCATTCCAAGCCGGGGTTAGATCATTCCAAAGGCTTGCTGCAGCGTTGGCCCAAGATTGCCTCCGGTCTGGTTGCAATCGGCAGTAGCAAAGGTCTTTGCTCCATGGAGCCACAGGCAGGATCGGCGTAAGCGCTGGAGACGTGCATCGTGACTCGAATTTTGCCTCCTTGTCTGGCGGTGGGGCGGTGGGGGGGGACTGGAGGGCTCCCTGTGCATTTGACCGCAGGTCAAGATCGGCGCCATCTACGTGAAGAACACATTTCTTCATTTCGCTCCGGAGAATGAGACGCCCGCCGTGGGCAGGCCTCGCGGGCTGACCGTGATTGAATCAAAGACTCGAACTCACTTCCGGGTGTGTTTTTGGTGACAGGGAAGCTCGAATCTAGAGATGAAACCCAAGTGAATGAGTTGGCGGTAGAACCGTGGCCTATGTCCAACAGGTGGCAATGGCTTGGGCGCCTCAGGTCAGCTTCTTGCCCGCCTGGCATGGCGAAGGACCTTTCCGATGTGGGGGCAATGAAATGGGCAGATGGCTGTGGTTGTCAAAACCAATGGGATCCCATTTTGGGATTGGTGCACCACCCATTTTAGGCTTCCTATTTTAGTGATTGGATTGGGATGTTCACTGGGGGTCCGATTTGGATTTTCACTCATGGCCATAGGGGCGCAAGATCTGAAGCAGCTAGTGTCATGACCCCGTGGACCTGGGAGACATCGCTTTGGACGCAGTCTCCGGAAAGTGTTGCATAGAGCCCAATACATCATGTTTAGCAGAAAGATTTCCGGGTTCCATGTAGATTTCAAGGACAGCAGCTCCTGTCTTGGATGCTTGAGCCAAAGATCATTCTGTGTTGCCTTGAGGCTTGCTGGTGCTATCGGACAAGAAGACAGCATGAGCTCAGGAATGAGCTTGGCATGGTTTGTTCTTCCCCTGACCTCAGAGCCAGGAATACAGCGCCAGTTCAACTCGTGTCAAGATGTTTGGTGTGCATGCTTTTCTGATCAGTAGCTCACCGTTTCGATGTTCAGAAAGCCTCACCCATCCAAGGAAGCCATGATCGAAGTGTCCTCAGCTTTTGTTTGATCGCTGATCAAGGAATGTCCATGGGACTTGCGGGAACTTCCCCCCCCAGATCGATTTGCGAAACCGACGGGTTGTGTCTGCTTTTGTGGATATGAAAAATGAAAGGTGCCGGAATACTTCTGTCCATAGCAGGTAGCTGTATGTTTCTACGAGAAGTCAGCTTTAGCTTTTCTTGGTGATTTGGGTGTTGCCTTGGATGTCGCTTTAGCCTTTAGATGATAACAAATCACTCACGTCGCATGGCGACTCTTGACGATCTTAACCATAAATCATTCCCAGAACAGCTTTTGGATTAGTAGCTTGATGGGGGTGGACCTCTTGCCGCAGTGTCAGCCAGTGCACTTAGGGGTGGCCTTGGACATCTTTAAATGCCAAAGGATTGAGCCTCCCCGCGGGCCACTTTAAGACCATGGGAAGCGTTGGCCGGCATACTTTAAGTAAGTGGGGAATATTGTGGATGGACGAAATCCTGCACCAATTTGAAACCATGGGAAGCCATTGCTTGTTGGTATTTACGGGGGAACCATCATTCTGTGGCTTGTCAGGTGATGCAGGATTTCCTCCATTCACAGTAATTGTGGTGGGGCCCTCGCGACCGTTGTGCCCAGGAGTTCAATACATACAATACATACAATACATCGTGCTGTGGCGGTCCATGGACCCAGTCAACCCTAGCCACAGCCCCGAACGAGCTCATCGATGACGATGCTGCCGCTTGGCTCGTTTTGCAGCATTGGATAGATGTGGGGCGGCATGGTTTGGACGAGGTTTGGCTGTGGGACATGAATACGCGTGAAATGTGTCTGTGGCTATAATGGATACATATGTGTAACACGGGCGCTTGCTAGCAGTTCGGAGGCAGGGGGCCATATGTGTGCGGGTCCGAATCGATGCGATTCTGCATGTCAATGTGTTTGCGAGGATACTCCAGCAAGGGTATGCCAAGGTTCTTTGCAACAGATCCAAAGCCACCCATGCAGTTTTTGAGGCAGCCTTTCAAGGGAAACCAAAAGGGCCCATTTTTTGGGGGAAGGTCCGAAGCTGGCAACACCCAGGACAGCGCCGACGAGGTCGCGACATGTTACAGCGATCTCTCGGATCATCATCCTTTCCCAGTGGATGCAATCAGCGCGAACAGGACACTTGGATGCAAGATGTTCGTTTGGGCGTGTGTTTTGCGAAGGAGCCGTGTCACCTTGGTTTAAAAAGTGAAATCTAAAAAGGCAGCCTATCATGTTCCTTCGTTTTCGGGGTCCCCACATACCGATTTCCCTGAATCAAGTAGAATGCTATTGTCTGCTGTAGCCATGAATCAGGAGTCTACATGCGTGGGTCGCCAACATGCTTGACGGGATAATGACTTTGTACTGCAGGCTTGGTCGTATCATTTGAGGCGGGCTCAAACACGTCATGAGGTAGAGTTGAATAACCGTATGGGGGTTGCAGTCTCCCTTGCAATTATGGCAAGCTATGGAGGACACCGAAAGAGACGATATCATGGCACACAACATCCTACAATATCAAAACCTGGATAACGATAGGGGATTCACTAGAGACAGCACAAATGCAAGTGTTTGATTCATGTTGACCGCGGCACGCGGCTTTCAGCCGAGGCAATCCTTTCCTGCCACGGAAGTGAGCGACGGCAAGTGTGCCGGCCAGTCTTGCCGAGACCTCGGACCTCACAAAGGTGGAGTTTGCCAGAGTTCTTTAATTGCCCAGAAAACAACAAACAACACCCACCAAGCTTTAGGAGTTTTCTGTTGGATCCCCTTCAGGTTTCAGCCTTCCGTACAGGTTCCATGCATGGTGTTCCAGGTAAGTTTAGCAGCAAAGCTTGGTGTTTCATTGCTTATACTTTGTTCGTGAAACCCTCTGCCGGGCTTTGTGGGGAGACCTTCAAAACTTGTTGGCTTGGGGTTGTAGGGAGCATTGGGCTTGGAGAGTGTGGCAAATACAAGGACGCACCCATCCGGGGTTGTGGGATCAAGGGGTTTCTGTGCTGTGATACAAGGGAACTCGCTTGATATGAACAAAGTAGTCTTTGGGAAGCCCTTTCTGTTGTATCACAGAAGTGGTCATTCCCCACAGCCCTGGACACCCATCTCTCAACACAAGCCAACGGGCATTGGTTTGGTCGGGCAAATGTTCCCAGCAAGCGCCTGGACGCCTCCATCCAGCAGTGAGGTGACGTCCGCGGCAGTCGTGAAAACCAGAGGGAGGCCGGCTTGGGAAGTGGCGTTGAGCCTAGGAACGTGCACCACACACCCACTCGTGAACGTGCCCGCAAAATGATCCTAGCTCTTATTCACATGGCAAAACATCAGCACGCTCGGCCATCTGGCAAACTCACGTGGAGATAGCTGCCTGCAATGCCCGCGCCAAGCTTTTGAAGGGATGGCCAGCAAAGTGAGGGACTGTTGTCTTTTGTGCATGTTCCTGCCCTGAAAGGACTGTGGCAAATAACGTGGGAACCGATAGGGGGCATTCAGCATTCTTCCAGACCTGAGTTGTGATATTCATATAACATTCCTTTGCACAGTTGTTTGGCCGACATGATTTTAGCGCACATTTGATGAGACTTGTGTTTTAGCCTTTGGACCTGCTCAGAGTTGGAGATTAAAAACGACCATGGTCCCTTGCACCCAACAGCGCGTAGCACCCCTGATGAACATATGAGTTCAACAGCAACACTGATACTTTGTTTGGAAGGCCGCCTAAACAATAGGGGTTCACCGGGGTTGTACATTGGCAAAACAAAGGCAGTTTGAAAGGCACAGATGCTTGAGGCTGGACTCTGCACTGACAAAGGAGTGCAGTGGTTGTTTGTTTACGTTTCATTTGTTTGCTTTGGTTGTTGTTTTTGTTTTGTTCGATTTTTTGTTTTTGGTTTGTTGGTTTGTTGGTTTGTTGGTTTGTTGGTTTGTTGGTTTGCTTGCTTGCTTGCTTGCTTGCTTCCTTGCTTGCTTGCTTGCTTGCTTGCTTGCTTGCTTGTATGGATGGGCATTCCCTTGCTAGTGCTTTAAACATGCACCAACAGCAACCAACCTTCTTTGCTGGGGGAGGCCCCGTTTAGAAGCCAAGCCCGCCCATGTTCGGCCCCTGTATCCTGAACCATCGTTGACGATTGCCACCCTGGTTGCAGCGCAGCAATTGTTTATCGTTGGTCAAGCTGTATCTTTGGTGCATTTTGCCTTGGACGTTAGGTCTTTAACTTTTTGCCAACTAATGGGTTTTCCATTAAACCGCTAAAAGTTAAGTTTTAGCAGGGGAGCAGAAAGCAACCAATGAATGAGGTCAGATGTGAAGAATCCTATATCCATCTCCCTTGACATTCACAAGCGCTCATTTGCAACTCCGGCCAGGCTTCAGGGATTCGGGATGCTCCATCAGGTTTATATGTTGCCCACCCCCCGCTTCAAGCAGGTAACTCCAGAGTGAGGAAGCCCCTCAACTGTCCGTTGCAGATCAAAAGCGCCAGGCTTTGAGCCTGTCCTTCCAAAAGAAAGTCAACAAGGAGCTCTCGAACACTGCACAGAAGGGTGGCCCCTTGGCGCTGTGCGACTTGAGTCTGGAACTTTTCGCCGTGTTTCGTCAAGGCTGCTTCGCTTGCGTTTGATGTCTCCATGAAGTGAACCATGACTCGGTTGCCCAGTGACAGGTGCGTATCCTCTAAAAAATGGGATTTGGTACCCAGACCCATTTCGGGGTTTGGAATTGAGGACTCCCTTTTGGAGGCCGTTGAACTGGGGGCGGCCAAAAGAAAACCGCCCTATTTGAGGGCTCTGAGTCCTTCATGGGAACATCTATTCGTTGTTCGACTTGTCTGGCGATTGTGTGACGAACAAGTTGAAACCTTGCACCGCGCGAGGATAGCTCAACTGAACTGAGAACATCAATCAACATTGGAATGGGTATAGGTTCACCAACCCTTTTTTTGCAACGGCTAATTGCAGGCGGCGACCAACCTCACAGGGAGTGTCAGGGAATCACCTGAGGACCGTTTGCAACGGTAGTTATCGTTGACTGAGTCATCACGGAAACCACGCATACACAGGGTACTGCAATTGTGTGGCATTCTGCCTTTGCGGATAATAGGTTTTGTGCAGGTTCCAGGATCCTGGAGGTGGTCGAGAGGCACCTGGCTGTGATGAACTGCCTCAACCTCGCCACCGCCTTTCATCGCCTCGCCCGTCACACGGAGAATCCCCAAGAGGTTGGGAGACTGAGAGTCTGGACTGGGGTCTGCCGGCCTGCGTCAGGAAGAAACACGCAAGCACCTGCGATCTTGGAGGTCCCCTTAGGAAGCACCTGGCGCTTGATTGATCCGGTGACCGAAAAGGTTGCATTCCTGGACCACATGGCCGTGACACGCAAGCCATCATCTAAGCTACAGACTGCTACGGGAAACATGATGGCAGTCTTGCATATTGGTTCTGCTGGAAGGCCATTTTGACACCATCCTGGAGACACGCATTCGCAGGTTCAATAGTCAGTTTAGCGATTGCGCTGTGAGCAGTGAGGCACCACACTGGTCAAATCGCTGAACCCAGAACGTGATAATATGTTTAGCTGCAACGGAAGGCGATGAGACGAAATCTGTCGTATGTCATGTCAGATGTAGCAACAAATGGAGTCCGCCCAGATAGGCATGTCTTCTTGATGTGCTTGCGTCTGCTTTGTTCGACACCCATGTCTTGCACATTCTCCCAGTTGCCCAGTGGCACCCCGTTTTTTTTTGGTGAGAGTATGCTAATTGCCAACCACGAAGATTTGTCTATTCTTTGAATACATGTGACAACGTGTCCAACAAAATCAGATCAGCACACCGAACAAGCCACGACCGACTGCAAGCCAACTTGGAGCCAGCCACATGCAGGGGCAAGCCCCATATGTTCCGCACATGACACAATCCTTTGCTTGGCTTGCACCGAATGGCATGGAAGGCTTTTGAAAGGCCATGTTCTGTGCACTTCGATGCCAGACTCAGAATTTCCAGCCATGTGTTGCTCTGTCAAACATACGCAGAAATCGCATATGCGGTCAACTAAGTCACCGACTTCATGCATGATCCCGTCTTAGAGGGGACAGTGAGCAACAACTGATGATAGCAATTGCCGAAGGCACAGCATGATTGACCTGCAGGCAGGCTACATTAGAGGCAGCTACATGATCTGAGCAGAACATGACATCTCATTGGATTCAACTAATTGATTGCAATGGACGCTGATGCACTCGACGCCAATTGCAGCAGAGCCGAAACAATGCTAGCTGCATTATTGCCTAGCGGCTCAACATCTCTTCCCGGGGTATCCGCAGAGGTCACAAGCAGCAGCACCTTCCTTCGTATGATCGACCTGGCTCACGACTTTGCTCGGCAGGACTGGTTTTCCGCTCCTGCCCTAATTTCTTCCCACACCGCGCAGGCAACTTGTTTCCTTGCGCCTCGCTTTTTTTTTTATGAACTTATCTTTGACATTAACCACCAATGCATGTTGTCTCTTTTTCCCTTTGCCGCTGAGCAAACCAAACTCTTGAGACTTCGTTTCCTGTCCCCCTTGCGCGTCAGAAATCAAAGTGTATGGATCTGGCGTTAAGTGTTATTTTATTGGTTGCACTTGGCTAGCCGCATGTCAAAGCAGTGATAAAGCCACCCCCATACCAATTGCTGCAGCAGAGGTGGGTATGGGTCATATCAAACCACCAGGGGACCTCAGGTTTTAGTCCTAAATTCTTGCCATTTACCAGGGCAAGCCATTTTGGGTACATATTTTTGACCCACAGCCAGGTCGCATAGGTCAAGTTGTGATGAGATGAGCGATGCTCTCTGCAGGAGCTGGAAAGCCGAAATCAGACCATGCCAGAGAAGTGTTGCACCATCATCGCTTGGTCTTGTGCAGCTGGGCCCTGAAAACAGTCTCGGGCGGCGTCCATTTCCCCCAAACCAGTACCCTCCGAGGGCAACTCAGCCAACAGTGGCAAAATGGCTGCGGTTACAGACCCAAATTTTCCTTGGGACTGTTCTAGAAACATTCGGGCAAAGAGGTATGGTAGAGATCGGCAAACCGCTGTGCTATGCAAGGGAAAGCAGCAGGTGGTGCAGTGAGGCCAGGCTCGTAAGTAAGCTTCGTGGTGTGTCACCAAAAGGAAATCAAGTATGTTTAGTGATACGGATGGTCAGGAATGACAACTGTATGACATAGGAAATCTGAATAAGCTGCTTAGGCGCAAATTCCTCATAGACATTTAATGATATTGTGGTTCAACGGTGAACATATATGATCTGCTGTTGTAAGCTGGGTGACATGGAGACTAGTCTACTTTACAGAACAATGCCTTGCAGCGAGATTGACTTCTTATGGGAGGGGCATGCCTTTGATAGAATGTCAGGGCATTGGTAAAGGCCACAATTCCATGAATGGAAGCCATAGGGTTGGGCTATGGTTGACCAGCTGCACATATTATCCGCAAGGAAAACATGCTGGAGACACTTTCCGAGACCAAGGCTGCATTTTCATATTGCTTGGCTACTTGGATGTACGCAATAAGGGTGGATCCCCATAAACGGTCCCCCAAATGTGTACAAACCCTCTTTGAGGAAGTTCCCCTATTTGCTTGCAAAGAGGGTCAAAAGGCAAACCTGTGTGTGTGTGTGTGCGTGACGCGCATACTCCTTGCCGAAAACAGCTCAGAGCAAACAGGCCAGTCTTCGCCGGATTCAACCGAAGTGGCCGATCCACAGATGCAGCGCTTGGCCACCTCACAAGAGGAAAATCACAGGCCTACCTTCTTGAGTGGGGGAGCACCACTGGACAGCTCAGAGTCTAGCCAGCGCTTGGACGCATCGCCCCCATCGCCAGCATCATTTGCCACTCACCCAGCTTGACAAGTCAAAGGTGAGTTAACTTTGGCGATGTCAAGTCTTTGATGCTACAGCCGCAGAGAACAAAGACTTAAAGACAGAGTGCAAGAAAAGGGGGACAGAAGCATGCTCCAAACTATGCTTTACTGGGGTTGCATTACATTTACATGTTTTAATTACATTGTGTTGCATCAAGTTACGCTACATAATCCTACAGTACTTACACACACACACACTGCATTCACACACACACACACACACATCGGCGTGTATGCGTGCATATAGGCAGGCAAGCAGGCAGACAGATTGACCTACATACCATCATGCATGCACGCATGCGTGCGTGCTTGCATACATACATGAATGCCTATGAACATGTATGCATATACATGCTTTGCTCTCTTCACGGATTTTGCTTGACGTGCTGGTTCTTTTGTTTTGCAGCCAGGCGGAAGTCTTTGGAGCAGGCCTTTTGCCACATGTGCATTGCGCACGTGAGGCAAACCTCGACGCATTTCCTGGTCCGCTCTTCTCCCTCCTCGCGCAGCTTGTGGTGTGCAATGTGCAAAGTTGCGAGAGCTATGAGCTCACGAATATGCTGCACTTCTGGCACGGATTGTAGTGACGCTGTCGTGTCATTCGTTTGGCTTATTTTTGTTGCATCCCTTTTCCGATCGGGCATCGCTGGGTTGCATGGTCCTTGATCTTCAAAATTAACATTTCACGGAGTGTTGTGGCAGCGGCGTTGCGCATTACGGGAGGGAGGCTGTCCTCGGCTCCGCTACAGGATAAATAAAGCGATAGCCATACTTTGAACTCAAACCCGGGATTCGATCAACGAGTTCGCCGAATTTGCGGAGACCGAGCCACAGATAGCCAAGTGTGGTATTTTTGGGACGCATGCTGCAGCCTGTGCATTTAAGTTTGTGGCGGCACTGCAGTGTTTCTAGTTTCTCATCTAATAATATATAATGGAGGGCCATTTTTTGAAGGATTGTTTTTCGTGTTTTTTTTTCAGGGTGGGTGGCTTTTTGGCTTTTTGTGGCTTTACGTGGGTTTTTGTGGCTTTTGCGGCTTTTCATTTCGCATCCTCTGCATTCACAGTCTCTCTTTTCGCATCCTCTGCATTGCCAGTTCCGCTGCCTTTTTGGCTTTGTGGCTTTTGGCGGCTTTCTGGTTTTTGGCATTGGCTTCCTGCATCCTCAGCATCGCAAGTTCCTCTCCCGCCACCCCCCTTTCGATCAAAATACACGCCTAATTGAATCATCACTTTTTCGATCATCATGCGACAGCTACTTTTTAGATTCTTTGCCCCTATTTTTTCGATCAGCATGGGGGGGGCTGCCGTTTTACAGGGATTAGTTTGCCCGCATTTGAATCCTCACTTTTACCATGAGGCCTTGCCGCAGAGGCACTGATGCATTGAATCATCATTTTTTCAATCATCATCCCCCCCGACTTTTTGCCCTTGATTGAATCATCACTTTTTCGCTCGTCATGGGGGGGGCTGCCGCCCCCCCCAACCCCCCCGCGCCTTTATATAATTGAATCATCACCTTTTCCATCAGCATGGGGGCCCCCCCCGCGCCTTCAATTGAATCATCACCTTTTCAATCATCATGGGGGGGAATTGCCGCCCACCACCCCCCCAACTACGTTTTAGGTGTTTTACAGGGATTAGTTTGCCCGTGTTTGAATCCTCACTTGTACCATGAGGCCTTGCCGAGGAACTGATGCCCCCCCGCTGCTTTTTTATATATATTTTTTGCCCGAATTGAATCATGAGGGGGGGCTGCCGCCCCCCAACCCCCCCGCGCCTTTAATTGAATCATCACTTTTTCAATCATCATGGGGGGCTGCCGCCACCCCCAACCCCCCCGCTATTTTGTAGACTTTTTGTCCTTGATTGAATCATCACTTTTTCGATCATCATGGGAGGGGGGCTGCCGCCCCCCCCCCAACCCCCCCGCGCCTTTAATTGAATCATCACTTTTTCAATCATCATGGGGGGAATTGCCGCCCCCGGATTAGGTTGCCCGTGTTTGAATCCTCACTTGTACCATGAGGCCTTGCCGCAGAGGAACTGATGACCCGTCCGCTGCCTTTTTATATATTGTTTGCCCTAATTGAATCATCACTTTTTCAATCATCATCGGGGGGGCTGCCGCCCCCCCCAACCCCCTCGCTATTTTTTAGACTTTTTGCCCCTAATTGAATCATGGCTTTTTCGATCATCATTCGACCGCTACTTTTTAGATTCTTTGCCCCTAATTTTTCGATCATCATGGGGGGGGCTGCCGCCCCCCCCAACCCCCCCGCGCCTTTAATTGAATCATCACCGTTTCAATCATCATGGGGGGAATTGCCGCCCACCCACCCCCCCAACTACGTTTTAGGTGTTTTACAGGGATTAGTTTGCCCCGTGTTTAAATCCTCACTTGTACCATGAGGCCTTGCCGAGGAACTGAGGCCCCCCCACTGCTTTTTTATATATTTTTTTGCCCTAATTCAATCATCACTTGTTCAATCATCATGGGGGGGCTGCCGCCCCCCCCCCCCACCCCCTCGCTAGTTTTAGACTTTTTGCCCCTGATTGAATCATCACTTTTTCCAACATCATGGGGGGGCTGCCGCCCCCCCTAACCCCCCCGCTATTTCTTAGACTTTTTGCCCCTGATTGAATCATCACTTTTTCGATCATCATGGGAGGGGGGCTGCCGCCCCCCCCCCCCCCAACCCCCCGGCGCCTTTAACTGAATCATCACCTTTTCAATCATCATGGGGGGAATTGCCGCCCCCGGATTAGTTTGCCCGTGTTTGAATCCTCACTTGTACCATGAGGCCTTGCCGCAGAGGAACTGATGACCCCTCCGCTTCTTTTATGTATATTGTTTGCCCTAATTGAATCATCACTTTTTCAATCATCATCGGGGGGGCTGCTGCCGCCCCCAACCCCCCGCTATTTTTTAGACTTTTTGCCCCTGATTGAATCATCACTTTTTCGATCATCATGGGAGGGGGGCTGCCGCCCCCCCCCCCAACCCCCCCGCGCCTTTAACTGAATCATCACCTTTTCAATCATCATGGGGCTGCTTTTTTATGTATTGTTTGCCCTAATTGAATCATCACTTCTTCAATCATCATCGGGGGGGCTGCCGCCCCCCCCAACCCCCCCGCTATTTTTTAGACTTTTTGCCCTTAATTGAATCATCACTTTTTCGAGCATCATGCGACCGCTACTTTTCAGATTCTTTGACCCTAATTTTTCGATCATCATGAGGGGGGGCTGCCGCCCACCCCAACCCCCCCGCGCCTTTAATTGAATCATCACCTTTTCAATCATCATGGGGGGAATTGCCGCCCACCCCCCCCCCCGCTACGTTTTAGGTGTTTTACAGGGATTCTTGTACCATGAGGCCTTGCCGCAGAGGAACTGATGACCCCCCACTGCTTTTTCATATATTTTTTTGGCCCTAATTCAATCATCACTTGTTCAATCATCATGGGGGGGCTGCCGCCGCCCCCAACCCCACCGCTAGTTTATAGACTTTTTGCCCCTGATTGAATCATCACTTTTTCGATCATCCTGGGGGGGGGCTGCCGCCCCCCCCAACCCCCCTGCGCCTTTAATTGAATCATCACTTTTTCAATCATCATGGAGGGGCTGCCGCCCCCCCCAACCCCCTCGCTATTTTGTGGACTTTTTGCCCCTAATTGAATCATCACTTGTTCGATCATCATGCGACCGCTACTTTTTAGATTATTTCAGTTCCAGGTGGGCCTTTGCCAAGCTGTACAAACTGCGGCCGGAGCTCGCGCCGCAGGCAGATGGGGGAAGAAGCTGAATAGGCAATCAATCAACCTTTGCCCTGATGTGTGGTGTTGGCATTTCCTGAAACTATGACCCAACCTGTGTCTTCTTGCTTGATGTTGTCGTTGTCATTGCCGTGGTGCATGTGTTGGATGTGGCGGTGGTGTTGGTGTTTGTTGGTGGTGGTTGTGGTCGTGGTCGTGGTCGTGGTCGTGGTCGTGGTCGTGGTCGTGGTCGTCGTGCTCGTCTTCGTCATCGTCTTCGTCTTCGTCTTCGTCGTGGTCGTGCTCGTGCTCGTCGTCGTCGTCGTCGTCGTCGTCGTCGTCGTCGTCGTTGTTGTTGTTGCTGCTGCTGCTGGTGCCGGTGCGGGTGCAGGTGCTCTTGCTGTTGCTGTTGCTGTCCACAATCCTCCCATGGCGACGCTTGCTGTGGCTTTGCAGCTTAGGAGTGATCAAGGGAACAGAAAGGCAACTCATACATTTTGGCAGCATCTTTTTGATAGATGCGCGGTTCATGGCCTCGAATCGAAAGCAAGCCACTCACTAACCAACAACCACTTTGAAGGAACCGGTAGTTACACGGGCATCCAGGTGAGGTAGGAAATAATAGATGCTACTACAGAGGAGGACCGCAACTGCCTTCAGTACAAGAATAGATAACATGGGTTTGTCTCCAAATAGTGTCTCAAAATAGGGGAACCCCCAACATGGGTGGTATTCGTTTGGTGTCTCTTTCAAACCATCCAAACAGGGTACCCTCAACAAAAATACACCCATGGATTAATTGATAGGCAGATGGTACCCCAAAAATAATCACCCGAGAATTCACACGCATGTACATGATTCGCAAATGTCTACATGACCCCAAATGGCGACATTATTGCTTTCAGAACTTCCTTGTAATATTGCCTGGATGTTCAATAAGACAGTCTGGCAACCTTCCTTTGAGTTCAAAACTGAAAACGAAACGCCAAACCTGGTTCTGGACAGAGATGGAGCTGCCGGACCTTTCTCCTGGGAGATAGGTTTGTTTTCTTTTTCTCGGTTTTGAACTCGAACGGAAGCTGTCAGACTTTTCTTTATAAAGCTGTTTTTTGAATACATATTTCTATACTCAGACAGAGACAAGTTCCAGATTGTTTTTTGGATGGCCACTTGTTGGTGGGTTTTCTGTCGACTGGGGGTTTTGGAAGGGGGGTTGCAGACAGTTACATAGATCGATGGATGGATCGATCGATCGTTTTTGTGATAGATACAGTACATATACAGTATGTTCATCCATCACAGGCTGGCAGCAGTGATGGCCAGACATCGCGGAGCGTTCACTGCTTCCCCCACCCTCAGCAATCAAAGAAACATGCGAGGAAGTCGCCAGCCTGGCAGGGCCAGCTGTTTTATCTCATTTGGGTATGGGGTATGGGTCAACATGAGGGCCTCCGCAGCTCCAGATACTGGATGAGCCTATCTGAGTTTCGGTGGGCCCAGGTCCAATGGGAAACTCAGCAGCTTGTGAACGCCGTGGCATGGATTTTTCAACACCGGGGTCGCTTGGAGCAAATGGGAGCCGGGAGTGGCGCTGTGAGGGAGATGCACGTGCCAGCTGGGACTGTCCGAGGTTTTTCTTCTAGGAACAGCTCCAAAGCAGATTGTGTGGAGCAACAGATGGACCTCCACAGCGTTGCTTCTTCCACATATCATTTTCACATTCTGTTGCTATCCGAGATTGCCAATGTACAGCACTGCTCCTTGAAGGCATGGGTGTTCATGTGCAGCATGTGTTTCCAAGGGGTCCACTTCAGGTATTTCTACAGATGGGAGCGACTAGACGTGTTTGGCCCGATGGTTGCCCTGTACTAGCAAGGGCCAGCGCTCATGCTCAGCTACAAAGAATCAGAAGAGCAGGATCAGGACCATTTGTACACTGTAGGGGCCGCCAGAAAAGTGTCGCAAAGGCACGTGTCCATTGTGCATGTCAAGTTGCCGGCGGCCGCTTTCAAATTCATCCAAACTGCCAGTGTGAGCCTGGGAGCATGTGCTGTTTTGCAGCCCCAGCTTGTGGAGAAACTCATATTTGCCAACTCAATGGGCTATTGCAACTATGCCTCACAGTCTTATCCGACTGCAAAAAGGCTCCGTGGTTCCTGATTCCATCGCATTGTCGGGCAATGTGCTGGCTCAATTGGTAGCAGGATGAGCCCATGTGTCAAGTCCTTTTAGCCAACCTCTTTTGCTGCATAGGCCCATCGACTCCCCCATTTACCCTTTCTTGAAGATATCACATTGCAAAGGCCTGACATCTCAAAGTTGATATTGTTGCAGAACTGACAGCCCATGCGAAATCAACTTGGACCTGGACTTTAAGAACGCACTTCCTCCAGTGCCATTGGGGCCGATGGCATTTCCAAGGTGTCCAAGACTTGAAGACACAGGTTCTAAGTTCTGCCGCACGTCTGCAATGAGCGAATCGAGTGATTGCGCACGTCTGCAATGAGCGAATCGAGTGATTGGCACGGGTTGCCAGAGCTGACTTTTAGAATTGATTCTGAGAATGTAAACATGGGTCCTTTGTCATTCCCTACCCGAGTAGCCATGGAAGGTTTGCTACATTGAGACCAGGGTTTGGACTAGGCGACTTGGTGTTGCAAATGCCCAGAGACTTGATGAGCGCCGCGCAAGCGTGCTTCACGAGTGAGACGTCTCGCATCAAGCAAACGGAGCCTGGAGATCGTGGTGGAGGTTCCCATGTGGCTGTCAAACCCGGGCGCCCCGTTTGGGGCCGTGTCAAATCCGCGACCACTTCGGCGGCCACACGGCCTCGAATTCGAGGCCTTGGTGTCTGTGGCGACGTTGCCTGGCCGCAGCCGCAGCTCCAGCTGGCTCTTCAGCGTGTCTTGGCGAAGCTGGGTTCAGGGAGCCTATGCCTTTGCCTGATCACCGGGGGGTCTTAGCATTCAGATTCACCGGTGCTGATGGTTCAAGAGAGAGCCTTGCAGAGAATTCTGGTTTGTCAAAAAAAAGTGAAGACTCCAATGTCCATGGCTCTTGTGCTGAAAACTACTCATTTGCATCCCCCATCTGAATGGCGTCCTTTTGATCTGCAGAATGCCGGTGCCTCTGCGCCTGCTGCGCGATTGCCTGCCAAAATAACACGCACGCGCGCCTCAAGAGCACCTGCTCATGACTGTGGCCATGCCTGCAAGCTGCGCAGATGCCTGCCAAATGATGGCGCATCGGCTGAAAAGCACCCGCTCGCCCAATTGTCCCGCTCAAGAGCACCTGCTAAACATGGAAAGCTTCAGAGCAGGATTAGGATCGCTGAGCCAGGTCACACAAGCTTGAAGAGAAAAAAACAAGCGACGCCCAAAGTGACAGGAAGTGGAACCTGGATTCTGCGCAGACACTCCGCAAACGATGCAATCGAAGGCCAGCTCAGAGCAAGGTAAGAAGACAACAAAAAGTGTGGCAGGAGTTTTTTCTTCAAGTATGCCGACATGGTCGAGACTTCTTTGGCTTCCATCGATTGCATCGAAGAGTCGAATGCTGATTAGGCAAAGTCTGATTGCCGGTCCGTCCACTTCGGATTAAAACGTGGACTGTGCCAATCAGACGAGTCCCCCAAAATTGTGTATTGGAAACTGAGGCTTGCCTTCCAGGATTGAAAAACACAGTTGGAACGGACTGCAGGGAATGGCTTTATCTAGACTGCCGACTCAGCACGTCATTCTTATCTCGGACTTGCGCGAGCTCCGACGCGCACAGCTAGGCGGTGCGGCGCCAACGTCGTGTAGGCACAGTGGCCTAAATGGGACGAGCCAAATCGTGAACCCGTCGAATCCCCCGGCCATTGGTGGCACGGAGAACACGCGAGATCGCGGCATCCCTAAGTTCACCCGAAATCCTGAGGATGATACCGTCAGTCGGGATATAAATGTGGCTGTGGGCACGACACAGCTGCCCGGCATGGTAGTGGCCAAGGCCAAAGGCTGTACAAAAGTGCCGGATGGCGGATTTGACATGCCCGACACAGGTGGCAATGGACGGCCGGGCAAAGAAACATGCAGGGTCAAAAATGTCATCACTGTTCTGCTTGGGTAGGCGCAATCGCGAGGTGCAGGCCAAAAGAAGGGTAAGCTCAATGTAGCTGATAGGCATAAAGCTCAGCTCAGCATCGTCAAGAGCATCAATCTGTTCGGCAACAAACCTGACCAATGCAATGGGGTAAGCCGGAGTGCGAAGTGCGTGAAGCGGCCCCCAATTGATCGGAGCAGCCTCAACCAGACTTGTAAAACCAACAACCAATCCCCAATCGGTATCCGCAGAAGGAGGGGCAGCAGGTTCAGGTGTTTCCAGTCCAGCTTGAAGCCTTTCGGAAACTGCACAAAAGAAATTGCGATGTACCCGAAGCTGGTAGGTAACCAGGTCGAAGCGTTGGGATTCGCCGTTCCAAAGTTCCCAAAAGGCAGGGGTCCTGTTGCGATTGCATATGCCGGCTGCTCTGTCAGCGGCATCATTCCAAAGGCAAGCCCACTCCTCAAACTCGCTGGTACACAAACTGAAATCCAAGTGTGACGGAATCCAATGTATGTGAACCAAGCCAGTGTTGCATTGTAGCAAGAGTTCGGCAAGTAAAGTTTTCAGGTCAAAGAGCCCCAGAGAGCTGTCCAGATGCATCTGTGGCTGTTCCAAAAGCTCAGTAACGAACCTGACAGTTTCCTGCAAGTCGCTCCAAATGTGAGTGGGCTGGTCATAGAAAAAAGCCCAGTGAACCGCGGCAACAATGGCATACAGTTCAGCACGTGCAGCAGTTTGTGTTAAACCAGGATGTGGTCCGCCAGCGACCGGTCTCGCGGTGCTGGCATTGACTACTGCCCAGCTGGCAGCTGCAAGTGAAGGTCTGGAATTGCGAATACAGCTCCCATCCGTAAACAAATGTTGAGGTCCAGTGCCCGGCTCGGAGAGGAACTCAACAGAGCCTTCAAGAGTTGCAAAATAGGACTTCAACAATGTTGCATGCGGGGACCTGGCGACCAACAAATGCTGTGTGAAATGCTGTGGCGCTGCGGCGGTGTGGGTTGCTGAGGTGAGCTCAGGCATGCCAGCACGAATATCTGCGAAGCGAGGGCAGCTCAGCCAGTGTGAGGGCTCATCTGGAGTGCCGCAGCTAGGGCAGAGCCCAGTCTGGCAGCTGTCAAATTTAGCCTGTTGCGAAGGAGCGAAGAATGAGCCGTCGTGTAGGTTCATAGTGATGGCAAGGTGGTGCGGCGTGAGGCGGTCGAAGCCGTGTTGTATGGCTTCGAGGTCAAGTCCCTGTAGCTGTTGAAGGGCCTTGCGGTGTCGCACCTGCCGGGCAACAAACTGTGCCCACGCGTCATGAAGCAGATGCTCGAGAGCAGTGGGATCAAGTCCAAGCAGGTTGTGCCCAACCCCATCGTGATCCTGAACAACAGGCGGAAGAAGCACACTCCATCCGATGAGCTCAAAGAGCTGCTGCATCTTGGAAAAGGGCCCAGTGGTGGTGGCGCGATGTCTTGTGTCGCAAAAGGCGCTCCAGTGATCAAGAAGCTCTGGTGACTTGAGAGCAATACGGCGAAAGTCGAAAACTGAGCGCCGAAGCTGGTAGTAGCCGGCGCGACAAAGAGAGCCGAAGCAGTGGGTTGGACCCACCGTGCTGGATGTGGAGGGCCCTGGTTGCTTGTGTGCGCAGCTTTTGAAGATGTCGGTCACTGAAGACAGTGCCGCCAGCGCCATGTAGGGCTTTGGCCCAGAAGACGGCGGGCAAGGCATGGAGTTTACGGGCTAGTGGGGCCCGAGAGCGCCGAAGGCGCCTCCAGTAGGGTTCCAGCCCAGCCCAACGTTGTAAGAAGAGCCGGTTGCGTTTCTGCAGGCCGTAGCAGACTGTGCCGCCCAACTCACGAGCGTCCGGAAGGACGGGAAATCGAAGGACCCCGACTTCACGCCTAGTGGCAGCGGTAGTTCCCCAGGTGTAAGTCTTCTGCTCGTCGAGCTGTAGCCCCCAAAGGTGCAGGTATGTCCGGAGCGTGCAGAATGCCCCGGCAACTTGTCTGGCGGCAGCGGCCGTGATGGTGAGGTTGTCAACGAAGCTACGGAGCCTGGCTTCCGGGTTGAAGCGAGCAAGGTAAGCGTGCATGCTCCAGTTGAGGACTGCCATGGCGGCAACACTCAATGGACAGCCTTCCGGAAACCCCGTGTTGGAGGTGTAGGCATCGCTGAGTTGGCCGTGAACAGAGAAGCGCCGCCTGAAAGTTGACAGGAACTTCTTCCAAGGAGAGGTAAGCCTGGAAGGAACGCCGAGATGGGCTGCTAGCTCGAAGAGGGGAACTCTTCGGATGTTGTTGAATGCCCGGACTATGTCAGAGGAGAGCCCACATAGCGAATGCTGTGACTCAATGGTGGCCTCGATTTGAGGCTGTAGCAAAAGCCAGACCTGGGCAGGTTCCCTGCCGGGGATGAACCCGTAGGCGTCTTCCGGCACCAGTTGGGCCAGCCAACGAAGTAGTTGGCGAGAGCGTAAAGAGGCCCAGCAGCGGTATATGATGCTGAGCAAAACTATGGGACGGTAGTGCACAGCAAGGTGCGGGGCCTCCACTTTGGCAAGCGAGAGAACAAACCCCTCAAGAAGTTGCACAGGCCAACCAGTGTCGTCGTTCTCCTCAACAGCATGAAGAAGCGAAAGCAGCGTGCTGACCTGGGAGTCAGACATGGCAAGTAGATCACCTCGATCAAAGCCGTCGCAGCCACGCGCGGCGCGTTGTCGGAAGCGTTTGATGGACCGGCGCCATTGATTGACAGTGATGGGCGTTACAGAAAAAGTGCCAGTCGGCAAGTAGTGCCGAGCAAAATTGGTAATACGCTCCCAGTCAGAGACGGAGGGAGCAGAATCCTGGAGCCAACGAGGGGCCCAGAGGAGCTGAAGCTGATCCTGCACCTCACTGGGAGAAGAGAAGTGCTTGCGTTGTGTAGCCAGAGCGCCGGCTGCAGGAACCAAGGTCGAGTCAACGGTGATGACGTCGTTGACCTGTTCGGTGACATGGGTGGGAACCCCAACCACTGCCCATGTGTTGGACCCCGCGGGTTGCGGGGTGTCATCAAGTTGAATCTGGATCGGCCCGTCTCCATCCGTGGCAAGGACAGTGAACTCCTGCTCAACCCACAAGGAGTCAATCTGTTCCCGCTGAGGTGGACGCAGATCCTGGAAGATGCCTGCAGAGGTGGTGGCGCGTTTGGCTTTTAGGATGGAGCATCGCTGTTGGATGTGCCATTGCTCAAACTCCCGAAAGCGGAGGTGGAAAGCAGCGAAGATGAGATCAGCAAGAGGAGCCGGGGGCGGGTTGCAAGGGAGTGGGCCAGTGACTGATATGAAGTCCTGGCGTGCCCACCAGCTCGAGAAGGTAGGACAGAAGCCACGGGCCCTGCGGACAGCTGCCCAGAGCGAGGCACGGTAGAGCTGTGCATCAGTGTGCTGTTGACCTGCATGAATGGCATGACAGTAGGACTGGAGCCGCCGGAGTTGCTTGTACCACTGGAGCACCGAGCGGCCGGGCAAGTCGTAGCAAAGAGCCGCTTCGCCTGGCCTATGAGGACGGCAACGAGGAGGATGGGCCGTCTTGACCATAGGAGAAGTGCGCTGGCCGTGTCCGAGACAAGCAGGCGGTAGAGTAGAAGCCTGCGTGTTGGTGATGTAGTCAGCAGCGACTTGGTCAAACTGCTGTGAGAAGCTGCGGAAGAAGTGGGTGGTATTGTTGCCAGTAGCAAAGGGGGTGAAGTGCGAGTCGTGCGAGGGCAACGTAGTGGTATCAGTCCAGGGAAGCCTGGAAGGAAGTGGCCAGGAAAGGTAGGTGGAAGTAGTGAGCGGAAGCTCAAAGGAG